GGGCAAAAGAGGCGAAGAGCAGTGGGCAAGGGGGGGAAATCAGTGGGCCAGGGGGAAGGTCAGTGGGCAGCGGGGGAAGAGTAGAGGGCAGGGCGGGGAACAGCAGCGGGCAATGGGGAGGAAGGGGGTGGGCAAGGAGGGGAAAGGCAGTGGGCAATGGGGGGAGGAATGGTGGGCGAGGGGGGAAAAGCAGTGGGCAATGGGAGAAAAGTAGTGGGCTAGGGGGAAGGGAGGGGGAAACAAGGGGAAAAGAGTGGAAAGCAGGATAGAATACGAGGGGGAAACAACGGGGGACAGTAGGGGAGAGCGGGCGGGGATAAGAGTGGGGGAACCAAGGGGGGAAAGGGGGGAGGAACACGAAGAAAATGGGGGAAAGCGGGGGGGAAGTGGGTAATCAAAGGAGAGGGTCGGGAGTGGAGAGAGGACCGGAGGATGGGTGGGACCCAAATGGGCAGCAAAACGGGCAGGGGGGGAAGAACAGCGGGGAGGCGGGGGGGAAAGCAGCGGGAACACAGGGGGGGGGGGGAAGCAACGGGCCAGGGGGGGAATGGCGGCGGGCAAGGGAGGAGAAGCAGCGGACCAGGGGGAAAAGCAGCTGGCAATGGGCGAATAACAGCGGGCAAGGGGGGGAAAGCAGGGGCAAGAGAGGGTAAAGCAGCGGGCAAGGGGGGGAGAATCAGCGGGTAAGGGGGGAAGACGAGCGGCAAAGGGGGAAAAGCAACAGGCAAGGGGGGGGAAAGGCAACGGGCAAGGGTGGGAAAGGCAACGGGCGAGCAACAGGCCAGTGGGAAAAGCAACAGGCCAGGGGGAAAAGCAGCGGGTAATGGGGGGAAAATAACAGCGGGCAATGGGGGGAAAGGCAGGGCCAAGGGAGGGGAAGGCAACGGGCAAAGAGGGGAAAACAGCGGGCAAGGGGTGGGACAAGCGGCGGACAAGGGGGGGGATAACCGCGGGCGAGGGGGGGAAAAGCAGGGGCAAGGAAGGGAAAAGCAACTGGCGAGAGTAGAAGAGCAAGCGGGCAAGGGGGGAAAAGCGGCGGCAAGAGGGGAGAAGCAGCGGGCACGTGAGGAAAGGCAGCAGGGAAAAGTAGCAGCGGGCAGTGAGGGGGAACGATACTGGACCAAAGTGGGGGGCAAGGAGGGGAATGGCAGTGGGCATGGGGGAAAAGCAATGGGCACGGGGGGGAAACGCGTGGGCCGGGAGAGAAAATGTGTGGGTAAGTGCGTAGAGTTAGTGGGCAAGTAGGGACAAGCAGTGGGCAAGGAGGGGGAACAGCAGTGGACAAGGAGGGGGAAGAGTAGTGGGCACGGGGGGAGGGATGGGGAAAACGGAGGGCAGACTCCTGGGAAACAGTGGGGGGAGATATCACGGAACCGGGAAGAGGGGTGGGGGAGACAGGGAGGTACTAGGGGGAAACTGGAGGGGGTATATGGGGAAGCCTGGTGGGGAAAAAGGGGGGGAGACCTGGGGGGGAGTGGGGGAAGCCGGGGAGCAGCGGGCAGGGAAGCGGGGGAGCAGCGGGCAGGGAAAGTGGGGGGAGCAGTGGGCAGGGAAAGTGGGGGGGAGCAGCAGGCAGGGAAACGGGAGAGCAGCGGGCAGGGAAGCGGGAGAGCGGCGGGCAGGTGAAGTGGGGAAAAGCAGAGGCTAGGGGGGGGGGGGGGAGGATAGCAGCGAGGCAAAGAAGGGGGGAAAAGCAGCGGGCGAAGGGGGGAAAAGCAGCAGAACAGGGGGGAAAAGCAGCGGACAAGGGGGGAATAACAGCGGGCAAGGGGGCTAAGGCAGGGGCAAGGGACTGAAAAACAACGGGCAAGGGGGAGAAAATCGGCGGGCAAGGGGGGAAGAGCAGTGGGCAGAGGGGGGAGAAACAGCGTCCGTGGGGGGGAATAGCAGCGGGTAAGGGGGGGAAGAGCAAGGGCGAGTGAGGGAAAGGCAACGGGCAAGGGGGAAAAAGGCAACGGGCAAGGGGGGAAAAGCAGCGGGCAAGTGGGGGAAAACAGCTCAGCACCGTGCATTGGGGGGACAATGAGCGGCACAGGGTGAAAGACAGCGGGCAGGCGAGGGAAAAACTGCGGGCTAGGAGGGACAGAGCAGTGGCTTGGGGTGGGAAGCCATGGACAAGGGGGGAAAAGCAAGAGGCAAAGGGGGGGAAAATCGGCGACAAGGGAGGGAGAGTAGAGGCAAGGGGGGGGGAAGCGGCGGCAAAAAAGGGGAGAAACAGCGAGCTAAGGAGGGGGAACAGCAGCGGGCGAGAGGGAGGAGCAGCGGGCGAGGGGGAGAAAGCAGCGGCAAGGGGGGAAGCGGCGGGCAGAGGGGGGAGAAGTACCGGGCGGGGGTGGAAAAGCAGCGGGGAACGTGGGAAAGGGCAGCGGCAGGGGGGGAAACGGCGAGCTGTGGAGCCGGGGAAGCGGCGAGCTGGGGGGAAGGGGGCAGCGGCGAGTTGGACAGAGGGCGAGGTGGCGAGCTGGGGAGAGGGAGAAATTGCGAGCCGGGGGAAAGGGGAAAGCGGCAAGCTAGGCAGGGGGGGAAATGGCGAGCAGGGGCAGAGGGGACGTTGAGCAGGGAAAGGGGGGAACGGCGAGCAGGGAAAGGGGGGGACGGCGAGCTGGGAACGGGGGGGACGGCGAGCAGGGAAAGGGGGGGATGGCGAGCTAGGGAAGGGGGGGACGTCGAGCTGGGAAGGGGGGGGACGTCGAGCTGGGAACGGGGGGAACGGCGAGCAGGTAAAGGGGGGACGGCGGGCAGGGAAGGGGGGGTAAGCCGAGCAGGGAAAAGGGGGGGGACGTCGAGCTGGGAACGGGGGGGACGGCGAGCAGGGAAAGGGGGGGATGGCGAGCTGGGAAAGGGGGGGGACGTCGAGCTGGGAACGGGGGGGACGTCGAGCTGGGAACGGGGGGGGACGTCGAGCTGGGAACGGAGGGGACGTCGAGCTGGGAACGGGGGGAACGGAGAGCAGGGAAAGGGGGGGACGGCGGGCAGGGAAACGGGGGGGACGGCGAGCTGGGAAAGGGGGAACGGGGAGCAGGGAAAGGGGGGACGGCGGGCAGGGAAGGGGGGGTAAGCCGAGCAGGGAAAGGGGGGGGACGTCGAGCTGGGAACGGGGGGGACGGCGAGCTGGGAAAGGGGGGGACGGCGGGCAGGGAAAGGGGGGGATGGCGAGCTGGGGAAGGGGGGGGACGGCAAGCTGGGGAAGGGGGGAACGGCGAGCTGGGAAAAGGGGGGGACGGCGAGCAGGGAAAGGGGGGGGACGGCGAGCTGGGAAAAGGGGGGAACGGCGAGCTGGGAAAAGGGGGGGACGTCGAGCTGGGAACGGGGGGGACGGCGAGCTGGGAAAGGGGGGACGGCGGGCAGGGAAAGGGGGGGATGGCGAGCTGGGGAAGGGGGGGGACGGCGAGCTGGGAAAGGGGGGAACGGCGAGCTGGGAAAAGGGGGGGACGTCGAGCTGGGAACGAGGGGGACGGCGAACAGGGAAAAGGGGGGAACGGCGAGCTGGGAAAGGGGGGGACGGCGAGCTGGGAAAGGGGGGAACGGCGAGCTGGGAGAGGGGGAGGCGGCGAGCAGGGAATAAGGGGGGGACGGCGGGCAGGGAAAGGGGGGGAAGGCGAGCTGGGAATGGGGGGAACGACGAGCTGGGGGGTAGGGGACGGCGAGCACGGGAGAAAAGGGACGGCGACGGTGGGAAGGGAGGGACGACGAGCAGGGAAGGGAAGGGAGTGACGCGCGCTGGGAGAGAGGGGTGACGCGCGGGCAGGAAACGTGGGGGACGGCGGGAGGAAGGGAGGGAAAACGGCGGGAAGGGAAGGAGGTGAACGGCGAGCTAGGAGTTGGTAACCGCGCTATCAAATTCAGCCGTGGTTCTCACCTAGTTTCGCGTGGTAACGACATACGGGGACGGCGCGCCAGGGAATACACGAAGGGTGCTCTAAGTGAGAGGGGGAGAGAGGACGCTGTAACGAACGGAAAAACGAACTGGTGCTGGCGACCGATTTTAGGGTTAGGTGGCGTGGCGCGGATCTAAGCTTAGAAACTAGAAAGCTGAGAAAAGCGCGACGCGGTGAACTAGAAGAGAGAGAGGGAGGAGGGTGGGAGGCGAGCGAGAGTGACGGGGGACTTAGCCGGGGTGGGATGGCGAGATCGACGGGGGTGGCGAAAAATCGCTCGACACCGCAAGGTCGTGTTCGCCGCCGCTTCCGTCTCACCCGCTCGTAGCCGTTGCCGATACCCTCCCGTTACACCTCCGATACAAACACTAATAACAGCTTATGAAATAGTAATGTGAACAGTGGCAGCTAGAAGGCTCCTTAGGAAGGTAGGTAGGTAAGCAAGGTCTTAGCGCCAGTGGGCGAGAGCAGTACTGGGCTGGGTGACCTCCCGGGAAGTCCTCGTGTCGTACCCATTTGTTATGCCAGCTCTCTTGCGGGGGGTGGACAGGGGAAAGAAGAAAGGATATTTTTTGCGCCAAACTGCCCGGGAAAAAAAAAAAAAAAAAAAAAAAAAAAAACGCCATCCTGAAGGGGGTCGGGCCACGGAGGAGCCCTCAAACCATCTTAGCGGCGTTCCGGGGGGTGCGGGCGGACAGAGGATCCCTTTTGGCTCGTGCCGGGGCAATGTGACTATAATGAAGGGTAGTGTAGCTCGGGGGCCACCCGGTGGTGAGCGACTCGCGCACTCAGCGTGGTACGATTATACCTTGGCTACTACGCCGGATCCCATCAGAACTCCGAAGCTAAGCGCCAGTGGGCGAGAGCAGTTATTTTATTAAAAATGAAGAGGGTTACAAGTCATATAGCAATTCTAAAGCCAAAGATGAGATTTTCGGCATGAGCGTTGCGCTATTATGACATAGTAGCGTTTAGAGGTATAGAAGAGAAAAAGAGAGAGAGAAGAGATAGAGAAGGAAAGAGAGAGAAGATAGTGGAAGGAAGAAGGTAGCAGAAAGAGTGGGGGAGAAGAGAGCGAGAAAGAGGAGAGAAAGAGAAGAGGGGAAGAGGGGAGGGGGGGTGTGACTATATCAAAGGGACATCCTGGGACCTAACAAAACAACAGCCCACGCGCACAGCGCGGGCACAGCGTCTCAAGCACGGCCTATATATGTTTTTCTACACATATGCATCATACATGTACTGCATATCTGCTGCACTCTCGAAGCACCCTGTGATGTGGTGCCAACTCCCCTGCCCAGCGCCCAAAGGTACAGGCGCTGGCATCCATCCATTGTCGGAGCCGCCCAGCTGCCGCACTGCATGCTGCATGATCACATTTGCCTGCGCGCGCTGCAGTGCCACGGAGAGACGCGTAGTGAGGCTCGTCTCAAATATCCGTGCCGACCCGTCATCCCCTGCCCCTGAATCTCTCCTCCGCCGTGCTGTCCGCGATGCACACAGCCCTAGGAACTGCCGCAGTGGCTCACTCAGGCACCCAAAAGTCTCCACTACGCAGGCGTAAAACTCTGGATCCGGCTGCAACCCCTGTAACACCAGCCTCCAGTGTCGCAGCTTGTCCTGCACCCGCCTAGCTGCTGCGCCGCCAATCTGAGTGGGTGCCATCCGCCTGAACTGCGCATTCCCCTCCCGCTGTGGGTCTGCCACCGAGACGTCTACAATCACCATCAATGCATCTCGCGGCGCCCTGCAAGTGAGGTCGGGAATGCGGGCGGGTGCCCCTATGCGGCCTGTGCGAGCGGCTGGCGTCTGCTGCTGCTGCGCGGGCTGCTGCTCTGTCTGGTCCCCTGATGCCCCCCTCTGGTCGTCGTGGTCCCCCTCCCAACTCCCCCTCTCACCCTCCCTCTCCTCCCTCCCGCTCTCCCCTCCCCCACTCCCCCTGCCACCCCCGCCCCTTCCGCCATCTCCTCTCTCCCTCCCGCCCCCCCTCCCCTCCCGCCCTCCGTCCCTCCTATACCCCCGCCTACTACCGACCCCTCTAGCCCACCCTCGCCTGTCCTCCCCTCCGCGTGCGCCTCTCCTACCGCCTCGCGCGCGAAACGCACACGCCTCGGTGGTGCCCTGCCCAAGAGCCCGTCCCCTGTCCCCTGCTGCTGTCCTGCCTGGGCCCCCTGCTGCGGCCCTGCCTGAGCTCCCTGCGGCAGCTGTACCTGCCCCTCTCCCCCCGCGCGCCGCTGCTGCCCCTCTCCGCCACCCTGCCGCTGCTGCTGCTGCTCCTCCTCCCGCCGGCTCTCCCCCGTGCCCTGCTGCTGCTGCTGCTGCTGCTGCTGCGGCTGCTGCTGCTACTGCTGCTGCTGCTGCTGCTGCTGCTGCTGCTGCTGCTGCTGCTGCTGCTGCTGCTGCTGCTGCTGCTGCTGCTGCTGCTGCTGCTGCTGCTGCTGCTGCTGCTGCTGGTGCTGCTGCTGCTGCTGCTGATCCTCCCTGCCGAACCGCCGCTGCTGCCCCTCCTGCTCCTCCTCCGCCCCCTGCCTCTCTCCCTCCTCACCCGCCTGCCTCTCCCCCCCCTCCTGATCCCGCCGCTGCTGCCGTCCTGTCTGTCCTGCCCGCTCCTGCCCCTGCCACTCCCCCGCGTGCAAAACCTGCAGTCGAGCTCGCGCCGCCTCCAGGTGCGGAATGAGCGCCGTGTCCTCCACCTGGACAGCGAAGCCGGCCTCGTCTGCGAAGTCACGAAGCATGAACTTCACTGTGTCGTGGATGGTCGTGGCGACCGCGAAGCGCGCGCACCTCACCGCGTGATGCGGCACCGACATGTCGGCGATCTCCTCTCCGCACGAGCACTGACCTGCCAGGACTAACTGGGGAATGGGGAGACCGAGACGAAAGCATGAAGCCACCTGCCACTGCGCCTCCGGAATGCGCAAGGAGTCCGCGTAGGGCACCGCCGTAAGCCAAGCTCCCGCACCTGGACCCTGAAGGGATGTCAAACGGGCAAGATGCAGGGGATCAGTATGACGGGCACGTACCGACTCCAAAGCGTGCGCCTCGATGTGTCTGCTGGCCTCTCTGAAAAGGCCGTCCGGTGCTCCTGTCGCGCAAGAAGGCCAGGCCGGCATGAGGCGTAGGACGTCCGCCGGCAGGGCCTCCTGAGCCATCATGATGTGCGGATCGATCTGGGCGGGCTCACCTGATGCGAAGCTCTGACGGAAGCCCTCCCCCACCGACGGCAACGAGCAGAGAATCGGTGCGCACTGCGCCCACGAACAGAGATAACTCACCGGGGCGATGCGCTCCATGCGTCGGATGCCGAAGCCCCCGATGCGAATCGGGAGGAAAGCCTGCTCCAGGGCTGCCCCGCAGATCGCGTCCCCCTCCCTCCACGTACCTCGCACCAGGAGCTGCTGGAAGGTCGCTCCCAAGCGCGCGTCCCACGCTGCAAAGATGGCACGTACCTCTGGTGATGGGGGGACTGTCCGCGCCAAGTACTGCGGACGTGTGCTGACACACGCGGAGAGCAGGCGCGCCGCTGTCTGTGGCTGCCGCAGCCTCGGGAGCCACGGCAGCACCCCAGCCATCCTCTCCAGTCGGTCCCGCAGGCTGGTCGTCACAAAGGTCTCGGTGCCAACCGGGACGCCCGTCACGGTGAGCCCCCGGCGTGCGACCTCGATGCCCAGATCGGTGAAAGCCTGCACGTCGCGAGGCAGGATCACCGACGTGTGATGGACAAGGCACTTGTGCGGCTGGACAGCAAGGCCCAACTCGCCCAAGCGCCTCACGACCTCCGTGAAGTGGTGCAGCACCCTGTCCGGAGGGCCCACGAGGTAGGTGTCGTCGGCGTACGACCAGAGCTGGACGTCACCCCCTGCCAGGACGGGCTCCAGGGCAAGGCGCTGCGTGAGGGCGTAGAGAAACGGGCTCAGCGGGTCTCCCTGCCGAGTGCCGCGCTCCGAGTGCATCGTGGTGACTCCCCTGCCGGTCCGATAGAGCAGATCGGACGGCGTGCCGTAGAAAAGACGGATGAAAGGAATGAGGCACCTGAACTCAGGACTGGCATGCAGTGCCTGGAACAAGACGTCGCGAAAGAAAGAGTTAAAGGCGTTGGCCACGTCCAGCTGCAGAACCACCCAGCCTGGGTGGTCAGCTAGAGCGCGGACAACGCCTCTAACGGTGACCTCTGTGCCACACGTGACCCCGACTCCGAACTGCTGTGACGCGAGGAACACTCTCGCCATCTGGTCGCGGAGCTGGAGGCAGACTGCGCGGGAGAGGACGCGCACGAGCACCTCTCCAATGGCGATCGGCCGCACGTCCCCGTTCGGCTTCGCGAGAGCCACAAGGGTGGACGAGGCCAAAAGAGAACGCGCAGCTGAGGGGCAGCGTCCTCTGAGCCAGAGCTGGTACACAGACAGCAAGGAGGGTAGGGTCTGTGGGAATGCCAAGTAGGTGTCACGGAGGTGTTCTGCCACCCATCCGGTCGGTCCCCCCGACGAGCCCCGCGGTGCAGTGAAAATGGCCTGGCGCAAGTGGGTGGCAGAGAGCACGAGGCCGTCCTCGTGGAAGGTGGAGAGCCACTCCGGTAGAGGGCGCTCCGCGCTAGGGTGCTTAGCCCGTAGGCTATGCACCGTGCGATCCGTGTCTGGAGCCGCCTCGGCCGACTCCAGTGCCGCGCACGCACGAGATGTCTCGTTGCACGCTGCCAAGCGCAGGCAACGCGCAATCCGACGCTCGTCTCCCGACGCGGTGGTGACGGGGGTGCGACGTGATGTGCGGGTGGGCAGGGGCGTGCGACGACGCAGCGCGTCGGAGAAGAGAGAGTCCCACTCACCTCGGAAGAAGCGCGCGACGCGAGCCGCGATGGAAGCTGTGTGGCCCCGCTCTGGTGGAGTAGCCGACGCTAAGAACAGCGTCGGCACTGCCGTGAACAAGAAGTGGGGCCCGTCGGCATCCGGATACTGCTCCATACGGGCGGTGATCGCGCGGAGGACATCAGAGATGCCTCCGCGGACCCTCGGCGGAATGCGCCGGAGCGGGCGAGCATGCGTCCGGGACGGAGAGAAATAATCCCTCCAATCCACAGAGTCCAGCTGCGCCCACTGCGCGTCGGAAAAGACCGGGACAGATGAACCCGGGCGTGAGAGTGACCCGCCGACCGAGGCGGCCTCCTGGCGGGCCTGCACACGGCGTGCCTCATCGCTCGGGGTGCAGTGAGGTGTGTGGTGGCGGAGAGCTCTATCGTCCGCCATGAGGTTCAGACACGTGGGACATCTCACCTCATGGGCTGGCGTGGACTCGTCCGCGTGATCGGTGTGGGCGGTATCGTCAGAGCTGGCGGTGGAGGCGGCCGGCTCGACGACCGGGTCCAGTCGATAGTCGCCCGCCATCGGGGAAGGAGGCTCACCTGCCACCTGGGGTCGGACGGGGGTCAGCGGCGGCGGCGATGTCGAAAGAGGGGGAGGGATCGGCGGGGGGCCCGAGGGCCTAGGTGCAGCGCCTGTATCCTGGGGGGAGGGGAGCGGGTGGTCGGAGGCCGCGTCGGAGTCATCGATCACCATGCGCTCCGGTGTGAGGGCGGTGGACGGGGGGGAAGGGGGGGCATGGGAGATGTCTGGGGCAGAGTCCACGGTGCCCCCCCCACCCGACCCGGACAAGCGGGCGCAGAGGGGGTGGCGGACGTGTCCCATATCCTGAGAAGGTCGGCAACTGCCGCCTCCGTCTCCCCATCTGCCCCCTGCGACTGTCCGCCTGTGGGTAGGGGGAGCAGGGCAGGCTGGTTGGTCGTGGTGGGCGAACCACCGTGGGCCCTGACCTGGGTGGGAGGTTGTGGACCGGAGGGGGACAAAGAAGCGGGTGGTGGGGACCGACGCTGGGGGGGGATATAGGCTTGCTTGCGAGAGGCTAACGACACCTCTTCCGCCTCCGGTTCGATTTCCATCGCGGATGGGGCATCGGCGGCGACCGTCTGGTGGGGGGCCAAAGGCGGGATGGGGGGGTGACAGGGGAGTGGGGCCTGGGTGGGGTGAGGGAGGGAGACCGTCCGAAGCTCGCCATCCTGGTTATGGGAGGGCAGTGGGTGGCGGGCCGGGGGCAATGATGGGGTCGCCTGAGGGGTGGTGGATGGTAAGGGCTGCACGCCAGCAGAGGGTGGAGTCGTGTCCGGCTGCTCCGAGCGCCGGGCTGCCCCGGGTGTCCCCGTGCCCTTGCCCTTCTTCCGGCGACCTGTGTGGGGTTGGGCAAACTGTCCAATCAGCGGCTGCCGTGTGACCGCCCCCTGCTGTGGGTGAGGAGTGTGAGAATGGGGCAGCTGGGAGGGTGAGGGGGTGTGGCCGCCGATGGCCGCTTGCCGCGATGGGCTAGCCTGCGCATGGATGGCGGCCTGCCCTGGGGCGGGTGCAGATGGGGACAGGGGGAGAAAGTGAGGGGTGGTGGCGGTGGTGGAAGCGGCAGCACCATCCGCAATGCCCCGCCCTCCCCCGACACCTTCCCCGTCCCCTTCCCCGTGGGCGTCCGCCGACATCGCTGCCTGTGCAGAGCGACGGTAAGGGGGGATGTAGGGTTGGGAGGAGACATCATGCAGGTCCCCTACTCCTGTTTTGTCGACGTCCATCGCGGATGGGTGGCTCGCTGCGACCACCTGAATACTGACGGGCAAGGAGTGTGTGGGGCAGGAAGGGGGAGGGTGAGATGGGGGGGCCGCCCTCGCCTCGCCCCTGTTCGCGCTGATGGGCCGGGCGGGAGTAGGGGGGCAGGGCAAGAGTGGTGGTTGGGCAGTAGGGTAAGGGTTAAGCGTGGGTGGGATGCTCAATGGAGGGGGTGGGAAGGGTGGGTGCCCCAGCGCTGGGCTGGAGGGTGTGTGGGACGGAAGTGACAAGGGAGGGCCCAAGAGGGAGGCACTCCCGTGGTCGCCTGCCGTGCGGGACATGAAACCTGGGGGCTGCACGAAAGGGCGCGAGGGGAGTTCCGGCTGGATTGCCGGGGAAAGGGGGCGGGTGGGATGTGTGGGAGAGGGAGGGGGGGGGCGGGGCGCGGGCAAGGTAGGGCCCACGGCCGGGAAGGGAAGCAGAGTGGGCGCCGAGGGACCCCCGCCTGGCCCGAAGCTTAGCTGTGGGGCTTGGGAAGTGGGATCAGCCGGGGTGAGACGGCGAGGGCCGAGAGGGAGTTGATTCGGGTTGCTCCCCCTTGCCGGGGGTGCACCCCGCTCATCGTTCCTATGGGAAGCGCCCGTGTGGCCGACAGGGTGTGTGCCCTGTGCCGGGCGGGAGGCACCTGGGGTGGAACAGGGTTGGGGGCGGACTGACGAGGGGGGTTGGGCAAGAGCCGCCCCTCCTTGTGCTACCCAGGTCGAGGCGTCCGGCGCGGGAGCCTGCGTGGGTGGGGGGGGGAGGGAGCAATCTGCCCGGCTCTTGTTTGTGCTCCTGGCGCCGGCGCGAGGGCTGCTGAGGGAGAGCAAGGAAGGGTTGAGTCGACCAAGATATATCCGGCGAGCGGGCCATCATTGTCCGAGCCATCCTCGGCGGCCGCCTCCTGGGGCACACTCGGCCGTAAGGGGAGGGTGTGGGGGGAGAGGGAGTGGTGAGACTGCGTCCCGATCATTGGCTCGGGTGTACAGGGGTCCGCCAAAAACGCCAAGGCTCGGGCCGCCCTGCCCATAGCCCTGGGTTGTAGCCCACGGCGAGGGCCCTGCGCCGCTGGTGAAGCCCCTGCATGCATGGGATTGGGAGTAGGGGGGGGAAGGGGGGGACGGGGGACCGCAAGGGAAGTAGGGGGAGGAGGGGAAGGAGGGGGGGGGAGGGGGGAGATGGGGGGGGTGGGAGGGGATGAGACAGTCTCTTCCGGCCCAGGTGCTGCCCTGTGTCCGGCCTCCTTAGCCCTCGTCCCAGTTACTGCCTTACCATCAGCCGCTCCAGCTGCTGTCTCTCTCACCACACCTCCTGCTGGAGCTGCCGCAGCTGCTGCCCTTCCTGCAGCGGCTCCCGCTGCCCTCTCCCGTGCAGCACCTCTTGCCGCTGCCCGTGTTGCTGCTGTTGCTGCCTTCCCTGCTGCCGCCCCAGCTGCCCTTCCTGTTGCTGCCATCCCCGCAGCTACCCCGGCGGTTGTCTCCCCCGCGGCACGCCCTGCTGATCCTGCTGCTGCCTTCCCTGCAGCCGCTTCCGCTGCTGCCCCCGGTGCGGCACCCCCTGCTGCCCCTTTTTCCGCTGACACCACCGCAGCCGCCGCCGCCGCCGTTGCCGCCGCCGCCGCTGTCGCGGCCCTGCTAGCCGCTGCCTGCGAAACAGCGGGACCCATTGCTACTCTCCCTGCCGCTGCCCCCGCTGCTGCCTTCCCTGCCGCAGCACTTGCTGCTGGTTTCCCTGTGGCGCTCCCCCTGGCTGCCTTCCCCGCAGCGGCCCCTATCTCTGCCTCCTCCGCTGCTGCCGCAGCAGCTGCCAGACGTGCATACATCCCCCCCCCGGTAATAGCCCGTGCGAGAGCGCGTACAACAGCTCCCTTTCCTGCCTCCTCCGCCGTAGGTAGCCTTGCCGCTGCTGCCGCCTCCGGCGGCTCTCCTATCCCTGCCGCACCAGCAGCCGCCCCTGCACGTGCTCCTGTTGCTGCTGCTGCCGCTGCTGCTGCTGCCGCCTCTGCCGTTGTCCCCGCCCCCGCCGCCTCAGCAGGGACTCCTTCGTCTGCTTCTGCTTCCCCGGCAGCCACCCTGGCCGCTGCAGCGGCTTCAGCCATCACCGCCTCTGCGGCATCCCGAGCCCCGGTCGTTGCGCCCCTCGCAAGATCGGCTGCTGCTGCCTCCGCTGCGGTGGCAGCTCCAGCTCCTGCCACTGTCGCCACCCGCACCGCCGCTGCTCCCGCCTCTGCCGCCTCTGCCGCCTCTGCAGGGGCGCCTGCTGTTGCTGCTGTCCCCAAATCCGCCCCGGCTGCCCCTGCGGCCCCTGCTGCTGCTGCCTCTGCCGCATCCCGAGCCCGAGCCCGAGCCCGAGCCGATGCACCCCTTGCATGATCCACTGCTGCCGCCTCCTCCGCGGAGGCCCCAGCTGTTGCCGCCGCTGCCCATGCTCCCGCTGCCACCGTCTCTGCTGCAGCCCCAGCTGCTGCTGCCGCCGCCGTGACCACCCCCCGGCTGCTGCCGACTCTGGAGCGGCCCCACCCCCAGCGGCTGCTACCTCTGCGGGGTCTCCTTCTGCCGCCCCCGTTGCAGCCGCCCCTCCCACAGCCGGATCCCATCAGAACTCCGAAGCTAAGCGCCAGTGGGCGAGAGCAGTACTGGGCTGGGTGACCTCCCGGGAAGTCCTCGTGTCGTACCCATTTGTTATGCCAGCTCTCTTGCGGGGGTTGGACAGGGGAAAGAAGAAAGGATTTTTTTTGCGCCAAACTGCCCGGGAAAAAAAAAAAAAAAAAAAAAAAAAAAAAACGCCATCCTGAAGGGGGTCGGGCCACGGAGGAGCCCTCAAACCATCTTAGCGGCGTTCCGGGGGGTGCGGGCGGACAGAGGATCCCTTTTGGCTCGTGCCGGGGCGATGTGACTATAATGAAGGGTAGTGTAGCTCCGGGGCCACCCGGAAGTGAGCGCCCCGCGCACTCAGCGTGGTACGATCATACCTTGGCTACTACGCCGGATCCCATCAGAACTCCGAAGCTAAGCGCTTGTGGGCGAGAGCAGTTATTTTATTAATAACGAAAAGAGTTACAAGTCATATAGCCAATATGAAACCGAA